AATTTGCAGAGATAGCTTACCTTGGTTGCTGATTGGCTAAGGGTTACACGAGCCAAAACATCATTATGACATCATAAAGGGGCCAAAATCTGATCAGCTCATTTTCAGACAGGTTTTTATAGAAATGGATCAGGACAAAAAGAGAGAGAATCTTTGTTCCTGAAACTTTCAGAGTCTCTTTCCACAGAGGGGACACATGTTGATGTAGAAGAGACATGAAGAAGAGGGGACACATGTTGATGTAGAAGAGACATGAAGAAGAGGGGACACATGTTGATGTAGAAGAGACATGGAGAAGAGGGGACACATGTTGATGTAGAGGAGACATGAAGAAGAGGGGACACATGTTGATGTAGAAGAGACATGGAGAAGAGGGGACACATGTTGATGTAGAAGAGACATGGAGAAGAGGGGACACATGTTGATGTAGAAGAGACATGAAGAAGAGGGGACACATGTTGATGTAGAAGAGACATGGAGAAGTGGATTTTGCATAATAGGTGACCTTTAAAGAATAGCAGCCATAAAGATGTCGAGGTATGTAAATGCTTTTTTAATGAACAGTAGGAAATTGTTGAAATCATTAACAAACGTACCAGGCAGGGTCGAACACTTTGTACCAGTTTGTCGGCAGATTCTCCACTCTGGTGGATTCATAATCTACGTTGTTGTCGTCGTAATCTTCAGCAATAATCTCCTCATCTCCCTCTGGAGGAAATGGAGAAGAAAAGTTAGGTGAGAAATAAAAAAGATATATGAATGCTAATACTCCCAAATGGTTTCTTCTCAAATGTTTTACCTTGGTCTGAAGGTTTGACGATCCCTCTCTTTGCCAGGCGGGCGAGCAGCGCTGCAGGAAGAGGCATCTGAAGAAGAGAGGAGGAGGAGAAGGAAGATGAGAGGGGTGCATCTGAACGAAATACCCCAAATAATAAACCAACAGTTTTATTTGTATTAATATCTTCTTTCATATGTTTCTTGTTCCCTGTAGTTGATTTACCCTTAGAGGCTGGGAATATTGTGACCCTGAGTGGAAGCCCAAAATAGTGCGAGACCAATGTGCAAGAAATGCAGATGAAGTAAACTATATACATGTCAGAAAGAAATACAATAAGCTTTATGTTGCAGATAATGTTGTAAGGGACCAAGTAAATGCAGGACTCTATATACATGTAAATAGAAAAACATATACAAGAATAGCACGTAAATATTACAGTGAAATAAAATAACATACGGGTCATCCAGTGGAAAAAGGTTTGCACACGCCACTGTCTATAAGAGAGCAACAACAGAAATACAGCAAGGTTCTGGTTCTTGTTCTGGTCCATACTGCATGCTTTCGTACCTCTGTGAGTCCCCATCTAACATGTTAGCTTGTGTCTCTTTTAGCTTATCAGGTTTGGTCAACGTCTTATTTATAAATTAAGGATGCGTTCTCCATTTAAAAGCGACCCGCTTGGTGAAGCAGAAACTGGGAGATTAAACCAACACACACCTGTTGTTTTCGTATATATACCCCTATACATATACTACCACTAAACACCTACACGTATATTGTGAGTTAAAGTAATGAAATAAGTCAAACATTACCTTTTTATTTCGTATAAAATCGCCTCTGTGATCTCGAGGAGACTTCCCACAACAGCAAACAGCGCGCGCAGTGATGACGTAGCAACGTTGTTTCCCTGACGACAAGAAAGATGGAGGAGTATGCTCGTGAACCCTGGTGAGATTAGTTTTATTCTTAAAAAACATGTCGTTTTCGATGTTCATTTAAATGTTTTAACATCGGATAATGTTTGGTATTCTTGTATTCATGTTGTAGATGTTGTTAGAGGCTCTCTGCGTGTTAGCCTGTTAGCTTAGTGGAGGCTGATGGGTATAAATAGATAAAGCTGTGGGCAGTTAAAGAGAGTAACTGAAGCTACATTTTGATCTTGTACTTAATTAAAAGTACCAGAGTGTAGGACTCAAGTAAAGATACAATATATATCTGCATTTACTCAGGTACAGCTTCCTGTTTTATAAATACAACAATAGTTTTTTACAAGGTCTCAATAATTGAATATGTCATTTATGTCACTTTCTGCTACTCATTGCTTTTACCTGCTATGCACCTTTTGCTGTACATATAGTAATACTAGAATTACTAGTTTAAGGGTCATTCCAGAATATATAAAAAATCTAATACTCCATGCCCAAAAAGCTAAAACATGCACTTGTTGTGTTAACCCTTTAACTGCCAGACCAAGAAAAAAGCTATGGACAAATTATTTTGTTGCATTTTCTTATCAAATGGGCCACAAATAAACACAAACTAATTTTTTTTTGTTGACTGACCACACAGTTTTGTTTTTATGAGCCTCTACCAACTGGTCGAGCTGGCCTTCTATGGTAAAAGTACGTTTTCAACAATCATCATATACAGTACAGTATTTGTATGCATCAAACTCAAATAAAACACAAACTCAAATGCATTTGTTTCTTTTATGGAAAATGAGCAATATATATAACCAGATATATTCATAAAAGATAATAAATTATAATTGTAAATACAAAAAAATGGAAAAAAGTAATGTAAAGTGTTTTTCATGATAAAAAAATACTTGCTCATCTTACTGTATATGCTGAATTGGCCTAACAGGAAACCACTGGCCTAACAGCAAATGTCTATATCCTGTGTTGGTCTAACTTGCTCATCTGTGTGCAACTTTGGGCTGAATGCCATGCATTTAAAGGGTTGTCTTGAGACAACATGTATATAAAGTTGTAGAAAAAGTGGTTTCAAAATATTATTGAAATGATCAAATAGCTCTCGAAAACCCCCTAAAATGGCATTTTTCTCTTATTCCCCGCTTCTTGGTGACCAACTTGCATGTTAAATATAACATTTAAAATAATAATAATAAATAATACTTTTTTTTGTATTATTCTATTGATATATGTCTCTTTTAATGGTAAAATCAATTTGTTAAATCAGAAGCATATTTTAAATAACAGTAATTTTGCACAGAAGGTGTGTCCCTCAACATGCGTTCAACCCTGTTACCCAAACCTTTTTAGATTGGCAGATGAAGTGAAAAAACTGTTTGTCACATGACACACAGGAAGTGACATCAGCAAGCCATCTGCTAGTGCCATGGGTCGACCAAAACTA